AGCAGAAGAAGTCTTCTTACTCTCAGCCAGTTTAGAGATGGGCAGAGCATCCTCAGCCTCAACCTCAGTAGCTTTGGCCTTGGGCTGAGCCTTCTTGATTCTTTTTGCCTTCGGTGGCATGGATTGGGTAGGTACAGCATCGACATCAGCTGGGAGGTCGGCTAGAAGATCTTGGGCAACGGGCTTCGGGCGACCCATTTCAGCAGTCTTAATGAGTCTTCGCCGACGTTTCCATTCAGATACAGGGATCAAGTATGGGGCCGAAGTAGATGGCTGATTGGTTGGGTCGGAAGTGGACTCTTGATCTGTTCGGGATGTAGAAGCGGTTATAGTTGTGGCAGTAGGAGGAGAGAGGCTCTTCTTCTTCTTCTTCGGAACGTCGGGCAGAGTGGACTTGTACGTCGGGATAAAATTCAGTACCAGGGGGGCTCTGCATTTTTGGATTGGAAGAGCTAGGAGCTTCTTTAAATCTTTTCCTGGGAAAAAGGATTGGCGAAAGTTTTTTGGTGGCTGATGAAGATCTGCAGGACAAACAAACAGACATTAGAAATAGACAAAATTTTGAAGACTTGGAAAAGAAACAACTAAGTATTGACACTGGGCTCTTACCCTTGCCCTCTTTAACCGTTCGAGGAAGAGGGTATAGATGGACATCTTCGTCTGGGGCAAATTCCCAATTTCCAGAGACAATGAAGTAACCATCTCCAGCCCCCTTGTTGGAGTCTGCGAGGTCGGCTACGATTTTGAATCCAGTGGACCTCGGCTTGAGGTAGTAGACGTAACCTTTTTCCTTCAGGCTAAGGGGGCACATGGTGTAACAATACTGTATGTCGGCTAGGGTGATTCTAACGTTTTCTTGTCTGGCTAAGGCGATGATACCAAAAATCACTCGATAACAGTTTATGGCAAGTTGCATAGGGTTCAACTTATAATAATGCAAAATCTCGCGAAAAAGAATGTTAAGTGGAAGCCGAAGTCCACACTCAGTAAATGCTACAATAGGGAGAGACATGGTGTTTTCGGTAGGCATGATGGAGTCATCATCCCCAGCCAGTCTCAGGTGGACATCGCCAGGGACGGAGAACTCCTGCCTAAAATACTCAAGTTTGGTCGGGGTATCAACCCTATGTCTCCACATACCCATAACGTCGGCCTAAAGACAGAAGGCTAGGTTTCAGAAAGAAGGTACTCTTAAGGGGTTATCGGGACCTCAGCGAAACCCTAGGTATATACTGGTAAGGATTGTTTCAGTTTTCCCTAAAAATTGAAGGTTCTATAGACAAAACCCAAACCTAAATCTATAAAGGTAAAGATTGAAAGAAAAAATTAAAGGCAGAAATCTGGAAAACAAGAAACAAAGAACGACGTTTCAGAATCAAAGAACAGAGGTATGGTTCTCAGAAGCGAAAGAAATACAGAAGTAAAAGGTCAAGAACAGTGCCAAGAAAAGTGTTGAAATAGTGCAAGTGTTCAAAATATGAGTGAAATCATGGAATAGACGCATCCAGATGAATAGCTCAGCAAATCAAAGGTTTGAACAGAGCAATAATGACAGTAAGTAAACGAAAGCACATAGAAGAAATTGGGAGTGAGAGGAACAGAGGCTTACCAGAACAAATGAAGCCGGAATGAAAGTCGCCGAGATAAGGCAACGGTTACAGACACGACGGAACGGCGAAACCCTCGCTGAAATGGAAGAATGAAGACGGTTGTAGAAGCTTGAAGCTAGAGTAATGGCGGATTTGAGAAAGTTTAAGAGAGAGAGAAAGCCAGAAAATCGAGTGCAAAAGTAAAGAAGTAAGGAGGGAAAGAAAAGTTTTATCAAAAAAAAAAACTTGAAGCGGCGGCAAAGCACGGCATTTATTGCGCCTGGAGGAACGTGTGCGTCAGATGGCGCAGACGGATGAAAGACGGCTTACAAGCGCGTCACATACACGGGCCAATGAAAATAGAACACATAAGGGAAACGGTTGAGAAGAGGTGCATGATAGCTCATGCGCGTGGGGGGAGTTCGTTTGAGTTCTTGTTCTCTGATGAAGGCATGTCGGCCTATAAATGATCTCGGCTAAACATTTTTTTGAGCCAATATGCAGAAAGAAATATCGATATAGGTTCCATCACCTCAGGATACCGAGGTAATAGAACCTAGGGGCAGTTGTGGGGATATATTTTCTGAGTACCAACACGTGGCATGGTGACACCGACGTGTCAGCCGAGGTGCCACGTGTCGTGGTAGTTATGCCGAGGTTATCTTGGCGAGGCCGAGGTTATCTCCGAAGATATCGGAATCCGAGATAAGCGGATAAGGGACAAGAGTCCTAGAGTAAAGAGAAGACGTTGCCAAGATAAGGATAAAACTTTTAAGGAGTTTATCTTTATCTCTTGAAGAGTCCAAAGCCAGTATTGAATTGGAGTCCATAGAAGTTATGCTTCTATTGGGACTAGGTTTATGTTGGCTATAAAAGAGAGACACCCCTATGGGTCTAAGGTATGCTTTTGATACTCAAGCTTGTGAGTTTAGTACTTGATTTATCTTTGAGAGATATACTGACTTGATCGTCGGAGTGGCCCCGGGTGGAAGAGCCACCGCCGGAGCCTTTTCTTGCTATTATAGGTTTGTTAAAGCCATCTATTCTGCCAGTGCTCTCCAGCTGATTACTAGGTGGGCAGTGTGGTCAGATTTTTACCCACACAGAACATTAATAAGTTTTTTTGTGTGTTACATTGAAATGTTATGTTTGAAAAAAGTATACTGAAGAGTTTTTTTGTGTGTTACATTAGAGTATTGCGTTTGAAAAAAATACATTAAGGAATTTTTTTTGTATGTTACATAAGAGAATTACGTTATTGGTATGTTATATTAGAGAATTACGTTCTTATTCGTAATATGAGATTTGTTCCAAAAGGAGGAAAAATCCAAAAACTCCAAAGTACAGATTGCCCAAATGTGTAATTTCACATCTAGAAATCCACTTTTTATCTCTTAAAAATTAAAGTGACTATCCTTTTATGTAATTTCTATTTTAATGGAGCCTTTGGATTCATAAGAAAAAAGGAAGGATTAAACAATTCACAAAATCACATTTCAAGATTTATTAGTAGGGCTTTGCTAGAGAGTTCTAATTAGAGCTGTCCCCAAATAACTCTAATGAGCTGGCACCATTTAAAATAAAAAAAAAATAAAAAAAAAGTAAAAGACAAAACATGAGTAGGAAAAAGGTAATTTAATGTCCGTTTAGAGCTCAACTTTTAGAGGTCTCACTCATTTTTGTTATTAGTATTTTACCCTAAAAGTTATTTTGAGATCAAGTCGTTACATAAACAAAAATTAAATTTTAACATATTTTAAAGTATAATAAATTCTTTGATTGGTTAAATTGAAACTCCTTACCATGAACTCAAGAAATAACCAAGTAAAAAAATGCATTTCTTTCACCAGGCTAATGTGATGGTATATCAATTACAATAATGATGAACCATATACCAGAACTATATATATTATCAGAGACCTCCCAACAGATTCTGATCCCAGAATAACAGAAGCCCAACAGACCAGGTTTCCTACCACTCTATTAAATTCCGACTAATTTACTGAATACGTTCATAAAATAATCAAATTCTGATTAGACAAATAATGGTATATGTAGCTTCTCAAATTAGAAATCAAATAGAGCTTAAGGAAGAAAAACTGATAATTACAACATTTGAGCTGCAGTTAGCAACAATTGTTATTGGAGCAGCTGATTATGAATATAAAATAAGATAAAAAGTCAGCTTCCATAAAAGAAGCATATGAACATGTTTTTTCTTTTTTTTCTTTTTATATACATGAGGTTATAAAATATGAAGGAATTTTGAGATCTGCAGTGCGGTGTTGTACTGAAGATTAAGCCATAGCAGCAGCTTGTTCTTCAACAACCTGTGATGCCGGGAGAAGGGTGCAGATAAGGTTGCGGTCACCGTACACATTGTCGACACGCCCTGATTGTGACAGCCACAGCATCACAAAATTAGACACCATTCAGGCCATAATAGTTTATTGAAAAAAAAAAAAAAGCTGTGAAATGAAAATGGGAAGCCAATAGTAAGAAAAAAGTTATCAGAAAAAGAACTAAATCGAGTGAGAAAAAGTAGCATATGATAGAATAAAACGAGAATTTGTTGTCATTTAAGAATATGTGTAATATTTAAAAATTGGTTTTGTTTTCTTTACAAACATATTCAGAGGAATTTGTCAAATTGAATCTTCACACAGAAGATGCAGAGTAGGAGATGATCAGAAATGGCTTTAAAAGAGAATTATGTGATGGTAGGGTTACTTTTTGAAGGGAAAAAAATGGGCGACCAGAGAGGGAAACACACCTGTGGTAGGCCAGAACTTGGATGAGTGGAGCCAAGGAGCAGGGAAGGCAGCATATTCCCGAGAGTAAGGTTTTGTCCATGCATCTGCCATGAGCAGTGATGGTGGATGAGGAGCTCCCTGCACTTACACTAGTCAGTAAATTCCTCTGAATAATTTCACGAATTCAAAACATAATTGCCAGCAAGCATAGAACTCCATTACATAAGATATACCAAAAAATTATGATAATGCAATTTTGAAGTCTCATAGTTATCAAAAAGAAAATAATCCAACAGCCTTGATGTAGAACAATCCGATTTACCTTGAGGACATTGTTGTTAATATCTGCTTTTCCTTTCTCAATCTGTGCAATTTCTTCTCTAATGGAAATCAGAGCATCACAAAACCTGTCTAGCTCCGCCTGTACCAGGAAGTAAAAGCATTTTCAGAGCTCAAGAAAATGGAAAAAGATAGGGCAACAGAAAATTCCTCCTCGATGAAGCGCACCTTGCTCTCACTTTCAGTAGGTTCAATCATGAGTGTGCCTGGAACAGGCCATGACATTGTTGGTCCGTGAAATCCATAGTCCATAAGACGTTTAGCAACATCTTCAGCCTCTATACCAGCAGTATTCTACAAGGATATCAGCTTGTAATCAATCAAAGGAATAAACAAATAATAAAAGTGGTGTTTAAGGTGAATGTTAGTAAGAGCTACCTTGAAGCCCCTCAAATCGACAATGAATTCATGAGCGACTGTTCCATTGACACCGCGGAAAAGAATGGGGTAATGGTTCTGTTAAACCAAAACAAAACAAATTAATGCATGTAGGCAGTTAAGCAAAATGATCTATGAACTTGTGCTAAAGAGGAGTGAGTAATAGCTCAAACAAAATTTGGAATAAGGATAAACACAAAACCGATACGAGCACAAAGCACAAGTCATAGTTTTGATTGGAGGAGAGTTAAAGGGCAGTCTGTCACCTAATGTGACACACCCTGTGTTGCACAATTAGTGCTTCAATTTTCATGATTCTCGTGCTTAAAAGACTAAAATGCAAAAATAATCAAGGCAGAAGCAAGGACCTCCAATCGTTTTGCCATGTAGTTTGCATTCAAGATAGCTATCTTTGATGCTTCTGTCAACCCCTTGGACCCCATCATGGCAATGTAGGTGTAAGATATTGGCAAAATAAGTGCAGAGCCCCAAGGCGCAGCGGATATGGTGCCAAGTGGCTGCATCTTGTCGGGGGATGGTATACCTCCTGTAGATACCTTCAGTTTATGATAACAAATGAATCATTAAATGGACAACAAAGATATGCAGTAGTTGAATATGAATAAGATTCAGAATGCAACAGAATGTATTGCAGCACCTACAAAACCCAATCAAATCTTCAAAAACTCATTGAACTGACTTTAGTTGCTTAACAATCACCACCAACAGAAGAAATTAGCAATGGTGCTAATGGTATGATTTCCATTTAACTCCCTTTTAAGCGTTTATACAGTACAAGTTGTAAGACAAACTTCAAAGCAGACAACCGATCTTGTAAGTCTCTGGTCAAATAGAAGGAAAATTCTCCATTAGAATGATTCTGCAGTGGCTTTTTCTTCTTCCTAGGAGGAAAAGTAAATAGGAAAAAAATGTGGCAATGACATATGCCTGTATCACAATTCCTCAACTGGCAGTGGCAAAATCAAAGTTTTGATATTGATAAATTGTTAACCACCATCTCATCTAAAATTTTAATCTGTTAAAGAGGGGGAAATTTATTGTTTATTTCCTCAACACATGCCCCCTCTCAGGTGTGGCCAGTTCTCCTCCATAAGAAGGCAAAATACTATAATAATCGAGTAGGCAGTGAGGTTCAAAACTAATCGAAAAACTTAAGCTGTTAGAAAGGGATAATTTTTAAAAATAATTGGCATTGAATAAGCACATACCACAGGATGTGATGGCAGAAAAGGTGCCAAATGTTTCTTCACACCAATAGGACCCATGCCGGGACCGCCTCCACCATGTGGAATACAGAATGTTTTGTGGAGATTGAGATGACAAACATCAGCACCAATAAAACCCGGGCTAGTCAAACCAACCTGTAAGTACATAGAATTATTAAAAACTGTGTGCAGCCTGCTCTACTCATGAAAGTAAAACAACCATGCATTGTACAAATGGAAAAGGAATGAAATGAGTATGTCACCAGCACCAGTAGAAGAAAACAACCATTAATTGTTAAAAACGGAAAAGATGAAAAACTGAAATGAAGTCTCATTTGCCAAGCAAATCATTTCTCTTCAAGTATGGACATAAAATTCTAAACATATTTTCCAAAAGAATGAAAAAGGGAAAAGAAATCTAGATTCACAGCCAGGATCAAAATATAAAGTGTCTCTTGATTAATACTAAAAAATTGGAGAGATAAAAAAATAAAAAATAAAAAAATAAATAAGCAGACATTGCATCCTCAACATAGGCACCTAAAACAGAGAGAAGAAACAAGAGGATGTATAAGTCAAGCGCCACAAGCAATTACACGAACAATAATGTCATTCTACTAACTCCGCCTATGTCATGATGTAGAGTTTTATTTTTCCACAGCCAGTCCTATTAACTGCTAGGGCTAAAGAAAACCCATTAGCAGGGAAGTAAGTCCAATACTGAAAACAGATGGGACGTCTGAAATTTTATCTTTAAAAGATAAGACTTTTGTGAACATGATGCGTTCTCTTAAAAAATGTTTCTGAAACTTTTGGATATCTCTTAAGGTATCTGGAAGAAAATTTTGAACCAATCCATTTAAAAATAAAAAATAAAAAAAAATCCACCAATTTGAAAAATTCCGACTTGACAGTTCTACTAATCTAATAAAATTGGCAGAGGTGCTCATGGTTATTAGGACTGCTAGTATTTTTCAGTTGAGGTCATACTGTGCTCATAGCACACTTTAGTTTTACATGTTTACTATTCTAACCACCTATGCCAACCCACTCTGGAAAAATAGCAAGAATTGAAAATGACAAAAGAGTAAACGAACCTGCCACAAACAATCACATAATTTTACCTATTAGATTGTTGAGAACTATAATGGACATATCAAAAGAGACAAAGTCTGTAGGAAGACAAGGAGGATAGACAAACCTGTGCATTCATATTGGCACCATCCATGTAAACTTGACCTCCGTTGTCATGTATTATCTTGCATATCTCATCAATGCCTTCTTCGTAAACACCATGTGTTGAAGGATATGTAACCTGAAGTTTAAAATTATAAAAAATAATCAATAGATAAAAGTGATAAAATAAAATTACTGTTCCCCAATGTGAACTGCAATACCATAAGGGCAGATAGATTTGCCCTATTTGCTTCAGCTGCCTTCCTTAACTCTTCAATGTTGATGTTTCCCTTGGCATCAGTTCCTACAGCAACAATTTTCATTCCGCACATAGCAGCACTAGCAGGATTTGTCCCATGTGCAGAGACATGTATAATGCAAACATTGCGGTGATGGTCTCCTCTTGCCTACAATGTGAATTAACTACTGATTAATAAAGTCATTTCAACAAGCTTATTACATCTTCAATATAATTTCTAATTGATATAGCATACAAACTTGGAAGATGTTGAAATTTCCTTAATGCCCTGAAAAATAGCCTCTTTTTTATTAACATGTATGATTGACCGGGCATCTTATTTGTTTCCAGAAGCATATAAAGTACCCAGGTCAAGTTCAGGTGAGAATGAAATTGTGATGAGTGCATGAGCACTTGGTATCATAAAATTCTAGCATCAAAACATCAAATCGCAAGGTGTTCTTTTGGAGGTCTGCCTAGAGGTGACCGTCGCAAATAAATATCACAAGCATTCTGTTATGACTCGAATCCATTGTTCCCAGGAAATAAAAAGAAGTCTATCGATGCAATTTATGTCATCATACCTTATGATATGCGCGGATGACCATGAGACCAGCGTACTCCCCAGCAGCACCAGCATTGGGTTGCAAAGAGAATGAGTCAAATCCAGTGATAGTACACAATAGTTCACCTAAATCTTTGAACATCTCCTGATAAACAGAATGCCATAGTTATGTATTGTAATGCTGGTTTTTGCTTATTTATACATGAAAATTACAGTTGGAAATTCAAAGTAGAAAAGAAGGAAAAGAAAAAGAAAAAAGCATTTCCATTACCTGATACCCTTCAGCCTGCTCACTAGGCGCAAAAGGGTGCATATCACTAAAGCCAGGCCATGTCACAGGCATCATCTCTGTTGTTGCATTCAACTTCATTGTACACGAACCCAGGGGAATCATGCTATGACATAGTGAAAGATCTTTTGATTGTAGTTTATGAAGGTATCTAAGCAGCTCATGCTCCGTATGGTATTTGAAAAAAAAAAAATGAAAGTCAGATTGGTTTTAAACTATAAGATGATGGCAAATTCAGTAGAAAGATGGTCATACGAGTTGAAGATTGGGTGAGTCAGATACGGGCTCTGCCTTACAAGGCCCGAAGGGATCATGTTCCGAACCTCTGGTGCAAGAGACGCAGCAGTAAATGTTACCTGATAATTAACACACAGGTTTTTTAGTGATGCGGTAAAAAATTAAATTATTACCAGTATTCAGTTTGGAGACAAAATAAACAATACTTACAGGCTTGCCACAGGCAAAATTTTTAAATAGCTTGTCCACATCCTCTAAGGTGGTTGTTTCGTCAAAAGCAACAGTGACCTGAAAGATAATGACACTTCAATAATCTCATAGCATCTTCAATTACAATCAAACTAACCACTTTTAAATCATACTTACAGTATTCTGGTCCACTATCCGCAAATTCATCTGGTTCTTGCAAGCATCATCTGCAATTGCCTTAGAGTCAACACATTTAACCTTCACAGTGTCAAAGAAGGGAAGGCCCTGAACCTCTACTGCCCCGAGTTTCTTCAGCCCAGCAGCAAATGTCCCTGCAAGACCATGTACCCTTTGGGCAATGGTTTTAAGGCCCTCTGGACCATGGTAAACAGCATACATTGCAGCCATGTTTGCAAGGAGTGCCTACATAACAAGGCAAAAATCATTCAATCAAATCCAAGCAAACAATACCCTAAAAGGAGTGGATGTTCCAAAGTGAGATGTGCACCCAGAATGTATATTTTACTCTACTTTTTCCTTTTCAATAGAGGAAGATCCTCAGACCCTTTTTTCTACATACAAGCAGCATCCAGATAAATTCAACCAGGTTCAAATTTGAACGGGCCAATTTACAGAACCTATAAATAAAAACATAACATAGAAAAGATGGGTAACGATATCCTACCTGAGCAGTGCAGATGTTGCTGGTAGCCTTGTCCCTCCGGATATGTTGTTCCCTCGTCTGCATTGCCATGCGCAGAGCAGGTTTTCCTGAAGAATCAACACTCACACCGATAATTCTTCCTGGCATCATCCTTTTGTACTCTTGGGAAGTGGCAAGGAAGGCTGCATGAGGACCACCATACCCCAAAGGAACCCCAAACCTTTGAGCCGAGCCAACAACAATATCTACACCAAATTCACCAGGAGGCTTTAACATTGTCAACGCCAACAAATCAGTTGCCATGACAACCTTAACCCCTTTTGCATGTGCATTCTTTACGAACTCCCCATAGTCCAAAACTTCACCCTCTGTTCCCGG